CCCCAAAACCCCAAAACCCCAAAACCCCAAAACCCCAAAACCCCATTTAACTGATGAAGGGTTGAAATATTTAATCATATTTCCTTCTATTAAGTCCGAGGTATTCAGGATATTCTTCATCTTCTTGTTCTAAATGAAGCTGGGGTTCGTTTTTGGTTTCTTCTTCAGAGTCACTGTTCTGATAGCCAATATTATAGTCAAATTCTTCTCTGTCCTCTTTTATTGGTTTCCTCTTAACCAATGAGGTAATATCTTCCATGGTAGGGAATCCATGTTCATTTAGATATTTAGCGAAGAAATATCCGCCAACAAGCAGACTGAGTTGGATCATAAGGGATCTGACAGAGAAGAATCCCCATTTCTTAGGGCACATAACTCTTGTAGGGCTGTAAGTCTCTCCTCCTTCTCATGTATCCCCTGGGATCTTCCTGTAACCTGTTGTGATGGTATAAAAGTTTTCACAGTCTTCAGGAATAGTTGGTTCTACAGTATGGTTATTTATAGGAACACATTGTTCTTTGTTAGGCAAGCTCTTAAATCCATTATCGCATTCAAAATCTAATCTGGTGCATTCTCAGTTTTCTATGAACTGCTGTGTCTCGTAGTCTTGACCATTGAAGCATGGAGAGTTCTTCTTACGTCTAACATAGGAAATTTTTCTGCCTAGGAAACATGGTGTTCCATGCCTTCCATCATTGGGCGACCAATACTCATAATCTGATCCTTCTTGGTCAGGAGTTTGTTCTCCTTTGCATTGGTTTTCATGTAACTCGTTAAAATCCATAGAGACAATTATTCCAATTCCTTCATCATTTGGCTCACCAAATACGATAAATTTAGAAGATGTGCTGGTTGGCTCAATTACAATATTATCGACCTGCATTTTGTTTGGTAGTTTAATTGCTTCCCAAGTTTCTCCATAGTTCCAGGTGTAGAGAATATAGTCAGTAAGTTTATACAAAGGAGCTAAGAGGATAAGGCCTCCATGATCACCGAATTCGACAATATGTGGTCCCTTGATGACTTCAATCCAAGTGAGACCTCCATCTCTTGAGATATAGGTGTTCAATTTCTTGTCTTCGTACTTTAGGTACTTTCCAACATTACCGATTCCAACTATGATTCCAGCAGCATTAGATAAACTATATGGGTAAGGATATTTGGAACTGGTTAATGAATGCAAATGGAGAGAACATCCATCATCAAGTCTGCATATTATTCTTTTTCCAGTTGAGGAATATTGAGGAGGAGTTAAGCTCTGCCATTTTCCTCCTCTGTTGAATGTGATATATGACTTCCTTTTCATACCAGAGTTGATATCTCTGTTGACTGTTTTAGACTTCTTTCCTGTTTGAGATTCTACTAAGCTATCTTTTAGGTTATTATCATAAGAGTTTGCGATAATGACTCCTTCAAGTGACTCCATTTCCAGAAAATCGAACTCATATGAGCTTTGGAATGGGACCTTCTCTAGATTCAGTGAAAATCCTGTTCCCTTTGCATCAGAAAGATAGACATTACCGGAATGTAATTTCTTTCCAGGCCTAGTGACAAAGAGAAATACAGCACCTGTGATACTCTCTATGACTGAAAAATCAAATTGGTGCACATTTTTAGCAGAGATTTTCATATCATAAAAAGTGCTGTACCCATACTTTTTAACAGATCTTGTAAGAACTTTCTTTCCCTTTTTAGTCACTTTTCCAGCATACAAATAGTCTTTAGTCAGCTTAAAGTAGTTTCCACCTTTCAAGAGAACTGAAGAAGATTTAAAGAAGTCATTTGACACTATGATTTTGTTCATAGAGTTCCATACAAGATTATCAACATCACTGTTTTTAGAAGCTTTTACTGCAATGATTTGCTTCTCGTGAGTTTCTGGATCATCTACGGTCTGCATTCCCCATTCATACTGAATGATTCTGTCTTGTAGCTTGCGCCAGGACTTACCGAGGTCAGTAGTGAGATATAGCTCCTCTACTGAGTTTCATTCATCGTCTTCAAACTCATCACAAGCTGAATAAATTGAAGCAAGGGCCCATTCTCTCTGAGTAGGATGAAACTTGAAATTAGTTATCTTTTTCTCCCCATTCAGCGGCTTGATAGTTGCTCCACAATCTTCGCTGACCCAATTCATTCCTTTGTAACCTATGAAGAAAACAATATTGAGATCTGCTGGAGATGGAAGCAAGATGATTATTTTGTGAGGTGATGGAATTTTGTTCTCCTGCATATGAGACTTATCACTGTGTTTATACTCCCAAGTATCTCCATCATCTTGACTTCTGTACACATATCCACTAATTGTATGCACAAGCATTATCTCAGAGTTTGGACCTCACCACATAACATCCTTAAGAGGAGCAATTGATTTGAAAGTAGAGGTCTTGATAGATCTGGGATTCGGATGTGGATCTATGATATCTTCTTCCTCTTCCTCAAGCACATTATCAACAACATCATCTATTTCCTTGTCAGAATGAATGAGGATACAAATTTTACACGACATCAACGTTTTAGGTCTAATTAATTCAAGATTTCTTATGCAAAGCAGCACAAATTGATAAGGACATTACCTGATTTTGTCAACATGATAAGTAGCATAAACAATATGGCTATAAGGTGAGACTTCCGAAGAAGCCTTGTTTTAGGCACCATTTTGAGTCTTTAAATTTATATCAAGCATTAAATTCATATTCGGGGTTTTGGGGTTTTGGGGTTTTGGGGTTTTGGGG